AATTTTCTGGACTTTCTTGATTAATTTTTCTGTCTGTTACTGTTTTAGTTTAGATTGGAGTGGTAATTCTGAAATTCGTTGGTCTGGTTCTAACACCTTCCACAATTCTACACCCTAAAGACCCCCCCCCCTCCCATCTTCAAGTTATAAATTCAACTTTTGTTGTATAAATACGAACCTGACATTCTGGATCTCCAAATCGGACATTGTACTCGATTAGTTTGGGTAATCCAGATTTCTTCTCAATCATGAGTCCAGCATACAAAACCCCAACAAACTTGCAGCCCTCTTTCGACATCCCTCTTACTGTTGGAAGAATTATAGAGCTCATAACCAAAGACTGAAGTTCTTGTGTCAAGACAGGTGCAGGTGAGTATGCCCCCATTCCACCAGTGTTTGGACCAGTGTCCCCATCGCCAACTCGTTTATGGTCCTGTGCAGATTCTAAAGGAAGGGCGTTCTCACCATCAACAAAAGCGAAAAATGATGCCTCTTCACCTTCCAAGAACTCCTCCACAATGATACAAGAACCTGCCTTGCCAAATGATCCCTCAACAAGGATCGAATCCACAGCTTCAAATGCTTCCTGCAGTGTCATAGCAACAATTACTCCTTTTCCTGCAGCCAGCCCATCTGCTTTAACAACAATGGGAGCCCCCTGTTCCTTGATATACTTCTTTGCAGCTGATGGGTCCGTAAATGTTTCATACTGCAGCAAAATTGATAAATGATGAGGAAAGGATTCTAAATTGTTTTATTTGCAAAGAAGCCAAATGATACAAATGCAAGTTAAAAACCTTTATTTTGACATATGCACTGATTCAATATCGTGTTTCTGATTTCAATATGGAAGGAGGAAACAGGTACTACCAGTTACTGCTGGGGGGGCAGGTTCAAATGATAACCATAAATATTTTGAGAATCTGGGGATCAACTATTCATGTAACAAAGAGGATAACTATCAAAGGAGAGAAATATGATCAAGGGAAAACAACACAATGCTATACAGCTTCTGAGTTCTATGTAACAATGAAAAATAGTACAAACCTTAGCAGTTGGGATTCCATATTTATCACATAAACTCTTCATAAAGTTCTTGGAACCTTCCAAAGCAGCAGCTTCTGAAGAAGGACCAAAAGCATGTATGCCAGCCTTCAGAAGATCATTTGTAAGACCTGCAACCAGAGGAGCTTCTGGACCCACCACAACAAGTCCAACTCCCCACTTATGGCAAAAAGCTATCACAGCTGAGCTATCAAATATATCAAGGTCTTCAATACAGGTGGCATCCCCTGAGTTGGAAATGCCAGCATTTCCAGGGGCACAGAAGACAGCATCACAGGAGTGAGACCGCTTCAAGGCGTAACAAAGTGAATGTTCTCTTCCTCCACCGCCGATGACTAATACAGAAACTCTTTCTTCTAGAATGCCAATAAAAGAAGAGCAATGAGAGAATACTGAAGATCAAAGTTGACTAATATTTGTATAACAGATGATATCAACGTTTCTTATTGGGAGATCCAAAATGTGACCCCATTTTTAAAAGTAAGCATTTATAAGTATAAAAAGCATGCAACATTTCAGTAAATTAAAAGACACACTCGCAAAACAGACTTCTCCTGTTACTATTCTTGAACTTCCTAACATGGCCAAATATATATTAATCTTCGGCATAAGATAAAAGGATAGCCAAAGGTGAGGAGGGTGTGTGAGTTCTTTTGATGCATTTTCCGTATCTAAATATTATACTTTAAAAAAAAAAAACTACCCAACAAAAGGCAAGTGTTTACCACGTCAAACTGAAGAGTCCAGAAGAACATAAATTACGATCATCAGTGAACATAAAGAACCAAGGATGAGAGAATTTTCTAATTAAGCATGACATTATCTACAAACAGATTGAGTCTGTCTTAATCACATAGTAAATGCATGATGGAAGATAATGAAGCAGGTAACACAAGCCATCATATTATTAACAAAACTAAATTTAACATACATCAAAACTGTAAGACATATTTCTCACCAGAAACGCCATTGTCTGAAGAAACACTGTTGAAAATGGTGGTGTACGATCGATAGCGATTTAAACGACGAAAATTCCGGGAATCACAAAATTTTGGCGATGTCCAGTTCCTGGGCTGCAGGAAGAAAAGTTGAGAAATTTTGTTTGAAAACTGTCTCTGACTCGTTACAGGCGGCTGATTTAATTTCATGGAAGCTCCAAAACTATGTGAAATGCATGCCATTGTGGGTATTTCCAAGGAGAATCTATATCAAATACAACTCAGGTTAGGAAAAATATCAGTGTCAAACATAATATGGACAAATAAGATGGCATAGCAGACTTCCAGAAACGATATCCATCAAACATGGGGAAAAAGGGAAACACATGATATGCAATCAAAACGTTTCCAACACTTGTTTCCACCATATAATGAAATATGAATTATTGGGACAATGGGAAATCATGAGATCAGGAATGTCATAATCCAGACAGAGCAGAAAACTTCATGAATGCCCTTTTGAGGTTATACTTATAGACAACATCGGATACCAGGGAAAACAAAGTTGGCAGTTGTCCTTTTGATGTCTAGGAGACTAGGACTCTTAAACATGAAATCTCACGTACTCCTGAAAGAAGCTGCAACTTTTCATTTACTTTCACCTAATCTACTACTTCCCTTCACGAGATGACATTTCTATAAATCCTTACTATTTGTCAACAATATGTTATCTTTTATATGGCCAACAGTTCCTAGTTAAATCTGACTACTCTAATTGTCATGAGCTGTTGCATACAATATTATTGCAAAAGTGGGAACAAAACCTAAGTGCTGATATGCTTACCCTATGAATTTGATATAGCCATGACAACTATTCAGCTTGACATAAACACTATTGTATAGCTAAATCCAACAAGTGAGTGTACAAACTTTTAGTTTCCAGATTCCATTTGGCTAAAAAAACAAAACATAAAATAAAAAAGAAGAGCTTATCAAATATCACCACAATGTAAAAATCCACAAGCTAGTGTGCGTTTAGATTGTCAATGTGTTTGTTCGCTAGCAAATCAATGGGTATATTTWGAMAAGCCTCTTTACCTAAAAACTCCTATTTTGCATGTACATAAGCCCATCATTTCTTGTGAAACTAAATTTGTATTTGGTAAAATTGGGTAGATTCAGGTATATTGAAGATGTTATTTGGGTATTGTTGAGTAGATGAACAATAGGGTGATTTTCTGAAATCAAAATTGCTTGGATTCTTGCTTGGATCGTGTACATCACTTTCCAAATCAGATATTTCGACCCTATAGCCTTGGGTTGCACGAAATTCTGAATATGCGATAATCCAAGAAGGAACAATCTAATTTCTTAGGCACAGAAATTAGATTATGTTACTATTGGTAATTGAATATTCCAATCCTCAGATTTGAGAGCCAAAAAAACGAGTATAGATGAGTATTTATACTCGGAGTCATCCACAAATGGATAAGGATAAGACCAAAGACAGTTGGAAGGTTATGAGAAGTTAGATCCACAACCTCCGTTAGGAACTAAATTTTGGTCCAGGGCACGGCCCCCTGACCCCCGCCTTTTGGTCGTGTCAGGATCAACCTAGTCTTATACAAGTGTGGGATCAGCATCTCTTAATTTGCATAAAAGACTAAGTAAAGATCCCCTTAGCTCTCGTATATTTACCCATTATCCCAAATGAAACCGGTGACACTAAAATCACCAACAGTTGTTAGAGGGCATAACATATTTAACTGCAAAAAAAATGCTAAAAACCTGCAAGCATTCAAATTTCAACTACTGAAAACCCAAACCATAACCAAGAGTAGGAAAATAAACACAAAAGGAGTCGAAAATAGCATGCATAATTCCATAAACCATCTAAGCTTTCATTTGAGCAAATCATCGAACCCCTGGCATGTAATATGAAATAGTTGTAAACTACAACAAAGAAACATACATGATCTTAACTTATTAGCAGGAAAGGCTTTCAACACAATCAAAATCGTGTTACATTCAGAAAAAGAGAGAGAGAGAGAGAGAGAGAGAGCGAGATGAAGTCTTGAACCTGGAGAAAACTCGGCGTATATATCTATGGGCGGCCCACCGGAGAAACAATACAACGTCGTATTCGTAACCCCCGAGGTTACGCTTACGATTGTACGCCGTGCACAGATGGTAGTACGTTAGCGAAAAGCTCGAATTCTGAAAGAAAATGTTTTGACGACTTAGTGGGCCGTGGATTATATCAATTTCTTACAACTTAGAAATTACAGATTGCCCCCTCCACGTTTATTTATTTTCACTAGGCCCCCCTAAACTTTTAACTTCTGTCATTACAGTCCTTTATTAATTATTATCTACTCTAATGAAATCAGGGAGTCGAGTAAATTACACGTTCCATCCTTATGGTTATATGTTTTTAATGATCCTTATTCCTTTTTTTTTTAAATTTCAACAGATCACTGAGTCCTTTTTTTGAAAATTCAACCGATCAGATCCGTTAAGAATATATTCCCTATTTATTCGGTTTTCAAGAAATAGTTGTCATCATCGTATTTGATTCAATTGATTGAATATTTTTTCCGTTAGTAAGTAAACAAAGAAAATTATTTGGTCTGCAGAAATATACAAACAGTTGTTTTTTCTAGGTTGCTTCAGACATGAAGAATGCTATCTTTTCTTTTACTTTATTTTTTTTCGTAACAGGGATGGGTTTAGAATATCTGTTAAATCTTAATCTCATATAAAAATCTCCAAATTTTCTACTTTTTTAATTATATTAAATTTATTGTAGATGTGTTTGAGCTAAAATTAGTTTACAGATGTTTAAGTTTCATCTCTTTGGGATTTTATAGTTTATAATGATTTTTTAAGGTTAAATTAGGTACAAAAGTTGTATATACTTTTGAAATTTTAAGGTGTTACTTTCAAATTAAATAAAAACCACTTTATATGGATATCAAAGGCCAGGGAGTCATTCTACGAATAGCATTTCCTGCTACAGTTTAATCAGCAAATGCCTAGCACGCCAATCCCCCATGTCGTGCCTTTATCATGCAAACGTCGTCCCGTTTGACTTGGATTCCTTGCATTGGCTTGCCCGTATGTCGTGCCCCTTGACTACTACCATCGGTGTGTTTAAATATGTTCCCGAGGGCTCACGCAAAGTTTCGTGCAAAACCAGCGGCAAAAGTCGTGTCAAATATGTAGCGGATTTGGGCGTTCTAGCCATGACGTCCCTCTTCTTGTACCAGTCGGACAAGTGGGGAATGTTGAGATGAACCAGAATTTCATATTTTACTATTTTTGTTATTTAATGATGCAAAGATAATTTAGATTGAAATTTCAAGGAAAAAAATTTGAATCGAATTACTTGACATTTCAACCTATAAAAGGTTGAATGATACTCGTCGTCTGGGGAAAAAAATCAAGACGATGAGAAACACTGAGTGATAAGTTATTTGGGGATGAGAAAAATTGAAATTGAAACGAAAACATCCGTTGATCATGGCAAAACAAGTAATGTCTACTTGATGATGGTGCAACGGTGACTTGAACGCTCAAAAAGTGTAGAGGAAGAACCACATAAAATACCCGTTGATCGTTCACCGAGCCTATAATTTTAGTTTGAGATGCTACAAAAATTTATCGCGTTCCATTTTATTTTGATGAGTTGTTATGTTACGAATGCATATTTCCGTTTCATGAAATGTTTCAAAAAAACTCACTAAACGGTGAGGAAAAAAAAAAGACAGAAAATAAGGTAAGTATGTGGTCAGCATAGAAACGAAGATGGGAAACTGATCGAGTTTTTGCAGGGACCAAAGAAACAAAGATGATCTAACAGTAATGAAATAATACAATGGAATGGAAATAATCATCCTCATTCTATCCTATTTTCATTTTCATTATCAATTCCAATTTCATTCCTTAAAACGAACCAAACGCCCCCTAAAATATTCATTTGAAATAGAATTAAATCTACATGGGCGGACCTATGTAGACGCTTGGGGGTCCATTTCCACTGTATTGTTTCGACTTACAGGTGCTATTGTTGTGATTCAATATGTGCCAACACATGACATCGTTGTTGGAAAACTGAGAGACTACAATAGTATATCGAAGCTTAAATTTGAGTTTTGATGGTTAATAACGACTGACAATTTGTTGAAATTGTATCTAATATTTTGTATTATATTTTGTAACTACAATTAATTTTCTTATATTTTATATTACGATAAATAATTTGTAATATTACAATGTTTATGCCAAGTTTGTGAATACATACAGTAATGTTGAAGTCTAAAAAACAGAGTCATTTTCCCTCCATATATGTTGGACCTCTATTTTCTTCTAAAAAATGCTTTGTTACAGAGTAATCTGATAAGATTCTACATATCTTGTATTATATAAGAGTCGGAGTCTTCCTCTAAAATAGGAGGGACTTGACACTCTAGAGCACCATCTGAAAGAAGAACGGAAGCTCTCAACCATTGTTTTTCGGTTTGATTCAGAAACTTGATTTCATCGGTCGTTCTCCAAGGAGATAATGTGCTTCGAATTTGAGCAATTGAGATGCATGAAAACAATACTTTCAATTATTTATGGGCCGTTTAGTAGTACCCCGTAGGTGCTTACCAGACAATTTTCCTCACCGGACGAACATGGCAAGGCCCAAGAATCTTACCTGGTAAGAGCAATGATAAGGATAGAGAGTCTTACCCAGTAAGTGACAGTGACAACTCTGACTCGGGTAAGCGCTTACCATATATATTGTTGCGCACGATACCATTTTGATATATTACAATCTTACCTAGAAAATAAATTATAGCGTTGACTCCTAACGTTAAGCGCTTACCGGGTAAGTATTTAGCCATCCATTCATTCAAAATTTTCGCCTTAAAAACGTGACTGAATGAATCCAGCTCCATCTGTTGCAGCCATTTTTCTCTCCTCAACAACTCTTTTGAAGAGTAATATGATCGGGTTTCAAACCTCATCAACCTACATGTATCCTGCAAGAAAAGCATCTACACATAATTTAAGCCATGCCTTCTTATATTCATACCACTCCCTTTTCTGTGTGTTTGAGCTACAAAGTGTCTGAAGCCATCTGAAGTTCTTCAAGTGATGAGCAGCAATGCTCACACAAGAATTAAAATAAGAGACTATGAATCATATTCCTACAGCATCAAGAAGCTCGGCGTGTTGAGAAACAGAAACCAGTGAATTAGCAACAATGGCACCGCTAGCAGCAACAGCAGGGACACCGATTCCGGGAAAGGTGGAATCCCCACAGCAATAAAGCTGTGAAATCGGAGTCGGGTGTCCAGGGAAAGACTCTTTTCCGGCTTGTATTGCTGGTCCATAAGTTCCTCTGTTCCTTCTAAGAAATCTTTGGTGTGTCAATGGAGTTCCAACTAACTTCACCTCACATTTATCACGGCTGAAACCTGGACCAAGTGAACGCTCCACCGCTTTCCATAGCACCTGAGGTATAGTTTGTTCTACTTGTTAGACTGATGATGGTTTGCCACACGATAACCAGGTAATATCCGCTACTTTTATTGACAATTTTACCCTTCATAATTGGAGGGGGTATTGAATTTCTCCGTCTCATAATCAAGGGTAACTAATTGTGAGACAAACTAAAATAGAATCGTAGACATTTGTTTTAGGATGGAGAGACTACAGTGTTCCATTTTGATACATGTCACATAAGAATCACAATATTTCCTATTGGGTAAGTAGTCAAATTAGCTCACCAATTCGCCCTCTCGTAGCAATATATCAATGCATTTTTTGACATTTAAATCTGATTATAGCAACAAAAAATAGCAAAGATAGAAGGGATCGAGACAAAAAGTTCTGGGGGAGTATCTGGGAATCGAAACATCATGTATAGTTCATATATATATATATATACATATATATATATATGTATGTATATATATATATATGTGAGGGTGAACGTCTAAACAATTTAATGAAATGAACTAGTGGTTTAAAGGAAATTGCAAAAAATGAAAAACTGAGGAACACCTTAATAACCATTCATTTGTATGATATGCATGTGTGAATACAAGCAATTTGTCTGGTATGCACACATGCATAGAAACCAGGAAACATCTTCAATTGCTTGTATGCACATGTGCATACCGCACAGATGAATGGTTATGAGGGTGTTGCTCAGTTTTTCATTTTTTGAGGGGGTTTTCTCCTGAACTCACTCGATAATAAACACAAGAAACTGAAATGATAAAAGAGGCAATGAATGTGAATCTACCTCAGATCTCTCAGCTTTGAGTTGTTTGTATTCTGTGCTTTTACGATCAAGACCTTCCCAAAGTTCAAATGGCTCGGTTCCTGGGGTGTAGGCATGTAAAACATGCTTTCCAGGAGGGGCTACATCCGGACTGAGTACACTAGGCACAGATATCAACACCACGTTTTGATCAGCATCGACTCCCCGGTTCCAATCATTTACAACTATATGATGAATTCCCAAGTCTTCCCGTATTCCCTAATATATTTAATATGTAATTAGACACCTTTACATAAAGAATCAAGGATAAAATGGAACTTTGATATGCATAACATATGAACATGAAATGCCATTCTCACGAATCACAATTAAGAAACCTAAAACCGGATGCAGAAGTTTCACCAATTTGACGAGAAAGTTTAACAGTAGTGTGACTTATAGAGTGATTATTAATTTTCTCTTCCTAAGCAAACAACATACTTCCAAAAAAAAAGCTTTCCAATTGGCAAGCAATAGCAAACAAAATACTCACAGTTGGATGAGAGTTTTTCCTGCTATTTTTTTTTCTTTTGGCAAACTCTGGTGCTTATTTCACTTTTCTCTGCCAACCGAAATATTCATTTTGCATTTTTCTTTTTCTTTTTTGCAAATGAAGTGCACGTACAAATGCAGCCATGATATTAAGGTTATGTTTGGCAAACTAGATGATAAGCTGGCTGTTAGCTTATAAGTTATAGTTGATGAACAAACTATGTTTGGCAAAACCAGCTGATAAGAATGTAAAATGACCAAAAAGAGCATCTTGAAAAATTAATCAATCATAATATTTCAAAATATAATTGAAACAAATCTCTAATAATATAATATATTAACTAATACAAACAAAATGATAACAGATTAAAAAATTATAATATATTGATTACAAGAATTTCAAATTTATTATTATAC